CCCCCCCCCCCCCGCTTCACCGCGCCGGGCCGCTTCGCGCCGCGCCGCGTCGCTCGCGCCGGAGAAAGTATTTACCGAATACATTTTTTCGCGGGGAAATTGTCAATATTTTGCGTTAGCTTTAGGCTGCTTGCTAGACCGGAGAAACGCCGCGGTGGGTCGCATCGTTTCTCGAGTTGATAATGCGCGCGGCGCGAGACGAGAGCTGCCTTGCGCAAGAGAGCACCGTCATCGAAGACCTGCACTCTCGCTCTCCAGAGCCCCCCTTGCTGCTGCTGTTGCAGCGAAAGCGTGTGCTGTCCTCCAGAAGAGTTTGAGATCCTTTTAAACAGGAGTTGTTGTAAGGTACTAGTAGCGGAAGTGGATGTGTAATCTCAAATGACTGTTTTATTGTTACAACTCTTTCGTTTTCATACAAAAATGATGACGAAATTTCAATATAAGTGCTCACAGTATACTTTCTTTAGAAGCTTTTCGAAATAAATTAGATGATATTCAACAAAAAAATATTTAATTTTGATGGTTTTGACCTTTTTTATTGGAATGAAACTCTTTCATTGTCGTTTCTCTCTCAAGAATCATTGCGAGTATCTTTAATTAATCAGCATTTCATTATGTTTTTTTTAAATTTATTTTATTATGAGAACCTTTACATAATATAAAACTTGTAGTTGCACAAGAGTTTTCAGTTGACATCTTGAGTAACATTATCTGTTGTATTCGTCTCTTGGTACTTTCAATTCCCGAAAGCAAACATTCGGAATGTTGCATTGCAAAACTAGAGCTTTGCTTTCGCAGACTCTTGAACTTGAACCATTCTGACTTTCTTTAATTTCTCATTATTATGATCCCAGAAACGCAAAGAAAGGATATTTTATCTTTGTAATTCAGACCTTTCACAGAGTCTCAGTTTTAGCGCTTCAGATTACTGGATCGTGAAAGAAGAGAAAGGGAAACAGTGAAATTCCTTCATGAAACTGTAATTTATGTAAATCTGTGTAATAAATGTCTAACTTCATCACGACGTGATTAAAGTATTAGTGAAATGAGTTTCCATCGAATGAAGAGGCAGCATTGCTTTTCCCTCTCCCTTTCATTAAGCCACCTTGGGCATCTCACCCTCGGACAAGCACTGCTCCTCTACTTCGTAAGGTGTCGTCTCTAAGCGTACGTACTCGCAGCAGTCTTCACACGGAACTTTGGTCCACATTGCCCTGCGAAACTACGATGACAATGAGTTGCGCTTTCGTAAAAGCTAACAACTTCGTACTCTCTATTTTTGCTTTTCATTCCTAGGCGTCAGATGTTTACATGGTGTAAAAATAAATTTAAATTACTTCCGAGGTTGCCTAATACTAGCATTTACAGTTTATAATCTTATATTTATAATCTTATTGTTTATTTTTTGTGAGCCAAAAATTTCTATCGGTATACTAAACTTTTTGTAAATCATTAAACGATAATTCAATTTTAAATAATTACTGCTATTGGTAATTCATGATAATTTATCACTAACTTTATCAATAAACGCTTTAGATGGTTCTTAACATGCTTTTCTCAATTTCGTAGCGGCCTCCAGCGCCGCAGAGCTCCCATCTCGGCCGCTCCCCCTGTGGCCGCATCCGCCGCCAGCGCGGGCCGCGAGTGCGGGGCAGAGTACTCACGTGGAAGTCGATGACGTGCTCGCCGTGACCGCCGCCGTGGCCGCCGTCCAGCCCACCGCCCAGGCCTCCGCCCAGCGAGAGGCCGTGGCCGCCCAGCGCCTCCAGACCCGCGTACGGGAAGGGGTAGGCGCGCGCCGCTGCGACCAGCGCCACCAGCGCGAAAGCGAGGATCTGCAAGGCCACAGAATTCATTGAATTATTAATTAAAGAATAAAAAAGAAAACCTGTTAATAGCTCGCCAGTTAATATCCTTATTTAATGAATTTATTGACAAATATAGAATTAAGGAAAACCCGTAAATAGCATATCGTCTTTCGGAAGGAAAGTAGAGCAAAGTGTGCATTGTTGGAGACTTACGGCTTATAACCACGAGTCTCTAAGCAAGATAACTCTGAGCAAAAGTTTGTTCATGACTTGCCTTCTCAATGTAATTTCTTAGTTCGTGAACAAATAGATTTTGTTGCAAGAAGCCTGCTTCATTACACGTAGTATAAAGAACTTCGAAACATGAGTCACAGAATTAACCAATTTCTAACGAGATCGTGAACGGGCTAGAACTAGAAGGGACTTGTTGATTAATTTGTGAAGTTTTTTTAGTCACGAAGAATAAGTGTGTTTTTCAAAGTAGGTTCTTGAGATTGCATCCCGGTTATTTTCAAAATAATATCCGACAAGTGTAACACCAGCAATATGAGGACGCTGGATATTGAAACACGTCACTGAACAATCTCAAATAAAATAAGGATCACTACATTGAAAAATCAATCAAATAACAGCACGTCTGTCAAGATTACCAAAAAACGCCCGAAAACAGCTTATTGGACTATAATGACAATATTCACAATTAGGAACAAAATATCAAATTAAAGAAGCAACTATATTTTCATGTTGTTAGTAATCAGATTCTTGCTGACGTTACCAAAATTATGATGAGCTAGCATTATTAAAGTGTAAATAATACAACAAAGAAAAGAAATGGAGCATGAGTTAAAAGAAGTTGAACGAGTCTAAAATACTACTTACAAATCAGCTCTTAAAAAGAGAGAAGAAAATTATTAGCTTGTGGAAAAACAAGTGCCCTGCCCATCATGCTGACCATATTATTTGATGGAGATTTAATTTCGAAGACAAATTGGTGAAGAAAAAGACATTTAGAGAACAGTAGACTTATAAAAAGGTCATTTCACCGCAGTTCTGTAAAATATTTGAAGCACAGATCAACGTACTGTAACAAGCCAGCCTCTACATCCCTTAAAACATAGAACAAAAGTATGATAATAAAGAAAAATGATTGTTATACTCCAGTTAATTTAAAAACGTATCACAAAATTACCCATTATCCAGAGAAATATTTTGAAAACATTTAGTTTAAACTAATTTGTTTTAACTGCAACACTACACGGCAACACATACAACTGCACACGGAAGATATTATTGGGATACAGACGTTATCGAGTATTCTGTACCAATATTTACATCTTAAAAAGATACTTTCTTTATACAATTCATGTCAACTTCCTGAATCCTCGACTTCAGGAAGTGTACAAAGAACGGAAACTGCAACTTGGTATGTACATACTCTTTACGATTTCTTGCAATAGAGAACTTCTCAAACAACTTTCTAAATGTTTTGTGGAGTAAGGAAATGATACGCCTTTGTATATATTCTCACAATAACTATTATATATTCACGACAACCACTGCGATGCTTTTGTTATGAGTTTGCTAAAGAACTTCTGAACTAACTTTTCAACTCTAAGAGTGTTAAGATTGAAATATTTCAATGCAATATGTTCCAGTTTTAATTGTGGTAGTATGTATACAACTATATTTCAATATTACGAGTAAAATCGTATTACATTTGTCATGTTAATTTGATGAATTCAATTGTTTGAAAGATATGTTGTGGTTATCGACAATATTATTAAATTAAATTATGGTTTTCAAAACCATTTTAGAATTAGAAATAATGAGTACGTTTGGGACTTCATCCTACTTTAATTAAATAAGAATGCTAAAACATACTTGGCTTGTTCCACTTGATCCTTCATTTATCTTTAATAGTGATGGCACAAAATGACTTACTTGAGAAATCTAATTATTTTTAATAGTATCTTCCTAACTGATGAGATTTAAATGTATCTATCCATATTCATAAAACTTACAAATCACTATAAAAGAATATTTAACGCAAGAAAGCAGGTGCTTCATTCCTGCGTGATGTAATTTGGGAATGAATAATAAAGAATGTAGTATCGTGAAAAATAACGGTATTCTAATGGCAGTGCATCCCCTACAAACCGACTCCGTCACCCCGGCACACGGCGGAACTATAACGGCCTCCCCTACAAACCCCGGCGCGGCGGAACTAACGCTGCGTCAAAGAAAATGACTCGTTGCAGCTAGAGCAATTGCACTGCTTTCGCCCACGCGCGCCCAACGTCCGCTCGATCACCACTCTGCTGGTGGAAAGTAGAGCACCTGCGCTGAGGGCTGCAGCGCGTCGCAGAGCGCGGGGACGCTGCCGAAGGGGCGGGGCGGGGCGGGGCGTCGCTGCGCGCGGTTTACGAGGCCGTTGCTCGCAGACAGCGGCGCTGCTTTCCCGCTCCGCCCCCGCCACAGTCATTTCTCCCGCATGCGACCGGCGCCGCGGCGGATACATCGACTCAAACGAAATTGTGCGGCGTTCGGCAGAATTGGCAACGTCCCGGAATTGCCCTCTATTGTCATTAACACCTGTACTTACTTGTATTGGTAATAGTCAATTGAATGCCAGTAATTTACTTGTTTAGTATCAAATTTATTAATATCTATTATAGCATTGTACTTTTTGACCGACAAGTGTTGAGCTAAAATAATTTACCACTTTTTTATTATAAAAACCATAAAATATTCAACTAATAGATACCATTTCAATAATAAAACGTAATTGTGTTTCAGAACAAAAAGTTATTGTGAAAATGAGATATATCTTAATACGTTGGATAACAATAAAAAGTATTTAAGGTATACCAGACTTGCTACAGTGATATAAGACTTCCTCCTTCAAATTGAAGAAGTTTACTTTCTTGGCGTCTGTTTATTTTTTGAATTGTTCCTTGAGAAGAATAAGAATATAATTGCCTAATATAGTACTCTAGCACCGGGAATCAAATGCACCCTTTTTTTTCAGATTATTTGAATCTTTTTTGATTATTTATTTTAATTTTTACCTCCACCCAATAACAAACATTTACAAATAAATACAAAACTGATTTTCCCATCTACTCATTGAAACGGTCAATATTTTTAATTATTTTTTTTCTCAATTAGCCTACTTTCATTTTGTTTCCTTATTCTTGTAGCGCCATTGAATTCTGATTAACTGACATTGAACATCGCTGACTGAATACCTGAGTAACTCTGAGGAAGTTTCACGACCAGCTTCGCTCCACCAGAAAAGGACCTTTGCGAGAGTAAACGTGACCATAACGCGGATCGCCTGCGCCTCGTGAAGCAGCGCGTGCATGCAGCGCCAGGCTCAACCTGCGAGGTCGCGACCGTGAACGGGCCGCTGCGCCCCCTCCGCACCACTCCGCTCCGCCGCTCGAACCGGTCCCACCGCCCGGTCCGCGGGCCCGCTCCGAATTTCGCTCCATCGCGGAATCCCGGAAGGAGTGACTTCGCGCTCCAAGTTACGGCGGAAGCTGCTGTAGAGCGAATGGAACTTGCCAGAAACTCGTTTCATGACCGTGTGGCGGTCGCGGGTAGTTGATTGAATGAGCCGCGTACCGGTTTCCGCGCTCTCGCTTGCAGCGCCGCTTGCGGGGCTGCCTCAAATGCCTCACGCGACGGGGCCGAGTGTGTGTAGGCATTGATGTCTGCATTAAATTTGGATGGCGCGAAATACCTCGCGAATGTGCACGTGTTTTGTAACATCGCATTAGTGTAAGTATAACCCTTTAATTATCAAACCAGACGAGTAAACGAAAGGGAAAACGCGAAGAGTGAAACCCACGCAGGTTGCAAGACTAGTTGAGAACTGTGAACTTGATGTTTGTTTGCTTAATTAAAGTGTTGGATAAGATTACCTCAAAGATTTTGTTTTCAAAATAATTCAATGTAATATGTTAAACGGAGTAGATATCTCACAAAGATTTTAAGCGAACCATTGTTGCGTTGCTATTGTGCATTATGCCTTCACTTGGAACGATGTTTCTGCAATACTGCCAAGTAATATATTATCTCTAGAGAACTTGAGAAATATTGAACGCGGTTCGAATTTTCGTGTGTATTTCCCAGATGGCAACAGTTCAAAATAATATGATTTATATTGTGCAAAAAAATTTCTTTTTTCTATATCATAGGTGTTTTGTAAAACAATTTTGGTATTAGTGAATAAGAGATTTGAAACAAAAATACATGTTTTCTACGATAGGAAAACAATCTAAAATCAGCAATAACTGCTCATTAATTTACACCAAAATGTAACATAAATTTTAGTGAAATAATATCCGCTACAATAAAAAAACAGCAAACAAAATTTACCAAATTCTGAGCCAATATAATACAAAATTTAAGAAATGTAAGAAAGCATTTGTTGCAACTAAGACATTCGTCTTATAATACCTTGAAACGTATTCATTTTCAGCTGCTGTTTGAAACACTTTTATCATTCATTAATTTATTCATGCAAATTCTACCAAAATATTAATTGTGTTTTCAAATATATAATTTGAATAGACGAGACGTCTTCGCACGTGCGTTGGTCCGTGGTCCCCGCGACCGAGTCGTCGAGTGCGCTCCTACCTTGCGCCGTGCCATGACCGGAGAAGGGGGCTGCGAGAGATGCACCGGCTGCTGGAGAGGACAACGGACGGTCTGGTTTCACGGCTGACGGAGAGGCGTTTATATAGGGGCCGCGACTCTGGGGCGGCGGCGGCGGTGATGGCGGGGGTGGTGGCGGGGGCGGGGTAGCGCGGGGACGACGGGAGTAAGGGGGCGGGGAGGTAGACGAGAGAAAGAGAGAGCTGTGTCGCCAGAGGATGTATGATCCGCCCGGCTTTACACTGAGTTCGACGGACAGAGATAATGATGGGGTATAACCGGTGTAAGCCGTGAAAGGGAGGTTTTAGGAAGAATCCTATGAGTGGAGGACAAGTTGGAAAGAAAGGATCATAAAGTGAAAAGAAGAAAATTCAAAAGATATTTAA